CACACACACACACACACACACACACACACACACACACACACACACACTTTTCTAAAATAAGGTGGGCATCACAAGATAAAGTTGCATAGTAATGTGCAGAATTCCGGCTAAAATGTCCTTGTCTTTCATTACATGTGAACACCCCTTCCAGGGTAGTTACGATCTCTGGAACTGTGATCAGCACTTGTGTGAACAAGCTTCTTGTGCCCGTGTGCTGGGATGCTCTTAGTGAGTTTCACCAGTTACATCTGCTTGGGTTGATATGCCCAGGATTTGTTGGGGCTTGTTGATATCAAACATTGTTAATAACAAAGTATGGAGGTCTCATTCATATTTTTTGTTAATTTTTCAAGTAAAATAGGCTAAAATTTTTTGATACTGTCATTATTTCTTATGAATATGTTGGGTGCTTTTCTTTCCAAGAACTAAGAAAAAATTAATAGGCCAAGAAAATTTAGTTTAGGAAATTCAACTTGAAATCTTTATTCATGTAAGACATTTTGCAGATTTGAGTGAGAATGAAATTCCTATGCTCATAAATAACTGTCCACATGCCTGTCTTGCTTCCACCGTCAGCAAGTAGCAGTACTGTCCAAGCCGTTTCTCAAGTCCCCACAGTCAGCAGTTTGATTGAGATTGATTCTACACAGTTCCCCTTAAGTTCATTCTTGCAAAGACTATTAGAGTAAACATTCTTAAACTATAAAGTTCTATGTTAAAATAATTGTAATTCCTCACTTTATTTGAAATTTAAGCATTTTCAATGGACCCTCATGTATTTGGTATTCTAGGCAACCACTCTCCCTCAGACACACATGTTAAATTAAAATTATATGACATTGTTTTCATACAGTATATCATCCCTGACCTTCCTACCCATTCTATTTCATATTTATTCTCTCTCTCTCTCTCTCTCTCTCTCTCTCTCTCTCTCTCTCTCTTCCTTCTACCCCCTCCTCTATCCAACTCTCTCTCAGAAATAATAACAGCAACAGAAGTGGAACCAAAAAACAAAACAACCAACAACCCCACAAGTATAACAAAAAATACTTTAACAAACCAAAGGCACACAACAAAACGCCACGGAATCTATTTTATATCGGCTAGTTACACCTAGGTATGGGGACTGCCCTAAAATGTGGTTGGTATAGCCAATGACACTCCATGGGAGAAAACTAATTGTCCCTTTCCCAGTAGGTATCAATTGCAAATAGATTCTTGGTTAGGAGTGGGACCTGTGTCCGTTACCTTCTCTCAGTACGTGGTTTTTTTCAGGCTCAGTACAGGCCCTGTGCATGCTGACACAGTCTCTGTGGTTTCTATGTGCATCAGTCACTTGGGGTCTGGAAGACCCTGTTTACTTGGAGTCATCATCTCTTGCTGTTAAACTCTTTCTGCTTCCTCTTCTGCCTAGATCTGAGTCTTTCAGGGAGCACTTTCCAGAGTCTCTCATTCTCTGCACAGTGTCCAGCTTTGGGTCTCTGTGTTATAGTTCCCATCTATTGTAAGAAGACCCTTGCCTGGTGGTGGCTGAGTGAGGCACTGATGCTGGGGTATAGCAGTATGTCATTAGGAGTCATTTTATTGCTAAGTCCTTCAACAGAATAGTGGTATTTAGTTTGTCCTAACCAAAACCACCCCATGAGATGGACCCCTTATGATACTACTAAAGTGACTAAGAACCTTAAAATTTTCTTTTTCTTTTTATTATTTTTTTTAATTTTGAGGCAGAGTAGTGAATACATGGTGGCTATGTTGGTCTTGAGGGAGTTCAATTTCTGTTTTTTCTGTCTTAGCTTCCCAAATAGCCAGCATACCTGCCTGCAACTTTCCATTTTATATAGAAAATCTCTAAGTTTTTGGCTTAGTTTTACAAAATTGCTTTTTCCTTTCTGTCTCACTATTGATCTCACACCTGTTTTACTATTCTAGTCAGCATCTAAAGTGAACACCATCTTCTCCATTCACTACAAAGCCCTTTGTAGTCTGGCTCGAGAACCTGCCCTGTTCCTGCTCTTAGGAAGTCCTTACCATGTGCTTGACCATGTTTGTTCTCTCTTTTGCTGACTTTTCTCTGTGTGTTTTCATTTGCTGCAAACTGCCTAAGTGGATAGAATTAATTTCCACTGGGGACTATGGAATGGAAAGTCCAGGAGACTTGGGATGTTTAACTCAACTCTGAAAGTCTTCAACAGGCATAAATGTTGCTATCTAAATAGGTTGTTGGAAGTATATAGGAAAAGCTATGATCTGCTCACCCAGACAGACTATCATGAAAAAGAACGGAAATTATGTGAGAACTAGAGAAAAGATCATGTAAGGAGAAACTCAAGATTCCTAAGTCATTGAAATGCAAATAATGTTGAGACCATGGTTAGTTGGAATGAAGTAGAGGGATGGGAGAAGTGAGGGCAACAGAGGGGTTTACGACAAGAAGACATCAGTCTCTTTAAACTATTTTGTTTATATGTAATCCAAATACACAAAGAGTGATGGAGCATATATGTGCTTAGTCAAATAACAGAAGCAGCGTGTGTAGAGGATGAATCAGTAGTGAAAATGGACTCGGGAGCTGCAGAGATGGCGCAGTAGTTAGACTCTTGGCTACTCTTGTAGAGGATAGCCTTATGCCCAGGATCCAATCAGTGGCTCATCATTGCATCTAACGCTGGTTCCAGGAGATCTGATGCCCGCCTTTGGCCTTCTAGACACCCTCACGCATGTGTACATAAATACTAACACACCTTTACAAAGTGTTCCAGTCTGTTACTGTATTTGGTTTTGGTGTGGTACCCAGGGCCATGTCATCTCCCACTGAACTGTGTTCCAAAGCCTTATTTTCTTTTTAGTAAGATAACTGTACCTGTTGATGCGCTATGCTGTGATATCTTGCTGATTCTATTAAGTATTTTTAGATTGGATATGTGAATGAAATCAAGGTTATTTGTCTTGTTTCATTTAATGAAACATTCTCCAGTTTCCCCATATTACCACAATCGACAACATTTTACTTTTAATAGCTAGACAGTAGTCTGTCATGTTTGTGCATGTGCATAAATAAAATTAGCTTTAAAATGTGTATCTATTGGTGGAAGCTAAGGTTGATTTATTTCTTGGCTATTGTGAATAGTGCTTCCATGAACAAGGGCATGCAGTATCACTGCATTGAACATGGGCTGCAGGTTTACTGATATCCCTTCTTTTGAGTGCATACTCAAGAGTGGGATTGTTAGATCAGTAGGACAGTTTCGTTTTTACCCTTTGGAGAAGCCTCCATGTTGTTTCCCATAGTGGTTTTGTGTATTCATTTCCACCAACTGTGTATCAGTGTTTTCTTTACAGTTTTCTCAGCACTTCCTTTTGTTTGCTTTAGAATATTTGCCAAACTGGAGTGAAGTGGAATATTACAGTTTTAGTTTGCATTTCTCTAGTGCTTGGTGATGTTAAACACCTTTCTATATAACTAATGACAAGTTAGACTTTTGGATTAATAGTCTGTAACAGTTTTTCCAAGCTAGAGTTATGTAATTTATTAGTAAAATACATCTGAAGTTCAGTAACTTATTTTGCTTTCAATAGCAGATTGCTATGCATCCAGTATTGTCCATTAATGATTGGCAGTTTGGGGAGCAGGGTACTTGTGAACCAGCCCTGGAGACTAATTTTATCTCACATTTTAAACTGATGTTCTTTAGCATCTTCACTGGAACTCATAGAAGTGATTATTGACCACTGAAATATTGCAGATTTTGTGAAAAGTTAATATGTAAGTGATTCTTAAAAAGTACTTTAAAATGATTAAATATCCACTGCCTTTCTACACACGGTGCAAAACTTTGCACAGGACATTTCCAGAATAGATTAGCAGGTCAGAATTTAGAATGTCCTATATAATGAATGTCACTCAGATACTCTCAGTGGATGATGTAGCAACATGGGTTTTCCTCAGTACACTGGAATGATTTCATGTAAGCTTCCCCTTTGAAGTAAAATACTCATTTTTCTCTCATAAGAACCAAGAACTATTTATTGCCAGTGAGCAAGTTCTGAAAGATGACCCCTCACTAATGCCGGTGAGTGAACAGGATGCTGACTTCTGCAATCACTCCTCTGAGATCATTATGCCTTTATGATTCACTGTGGTTCTTTGGAAAATGGAAATGGACTATTAACAATAATCAATTAGAATTTGTTTTCTGTTTATATTCTTTTCTCTAATGTTCTGAGCACAATATTATGAAAAACACAGCCAAATAAAGATGTTTAATAGAACTAATCTTGCATTCTCTCTTTTTAGTAGTATGCTGACGTATATTCATTGCATGAGATTCCTGTCACAATTATTTCTGGTCACGAGATATCTTGTGATTCATTTCATACTTTTCTTCTACCCTGGAAAATTATGCACTGTGCCTCTGTGAAAGAGCCTCTGACTAGTGCAGCTCTGTTCAAACTACTGTTGAGCATTTCTCGTCCTATCTTTAGATATAAAACAATAGTAAATATATTCTTATATAATTAAGGCATTAAATCATTTAGCAAACTATGAACAAAAACGAGAGCAGTCGGATGATTGCGCTTTGATTTGGATAGATAATGTGTTCTTTGGGACACTGAAGTATCCTTTTCATGTAAATATCTGATGATATTGCTTTGTTTAATCTGGAAGTGAATATTTATTAGTGAATCCATAAGGTCATAGTTTTAGATAGAAAATACATTTAAAAATTTCAATTAGTGAAAGATTATCTTTCATTTTTTTTTTTCTGAATAGTACACTTGCTACAAAGTGTATATACTATAGTTTATCTTAGAAACCCAGGAGATGGTAGATTTTATAGACTCTTCAAATAGTCTGCCTTCATTTTTGAATCTATGTAAATATATTTCAAAAATACATGTATATATATGTAACCTTTTGGTAATGTATATTTTTTTGTCTTAATATTTGTACAGATTCTTATTCTGCTTCTGGCCAGTTTCAAAGGCTCCTATTTTGGGCCCATCACTTCTTGAATTAGACTGTAATAATTGAAGCTATTTAGCTCTGTCATGTCATCTAAGACTCTCTCCCATTTACCAAGTCCAGAATGTTAGTTTGTGGCCTTCACCAGTCAGTGTTTTTTCTTATTTTTATTGCAAATTATATGGAAAATGAAATGTAATCTTTTCCTCCTGTGCTTCCTTTCTGCTGATAGCACTCCTGTTTCATCACACCTGACGTAACTGGACTCCCAACGATACCGGAGAGTGTAAGTGTCTGCTCTCTACTTCCAAAATTGTTATTACCAATGTCTGTGACCAGGGTGGCTAGTTTAGGGACAAACATACTTAGCTCCTGAGCGTGGTTGTCTGAAACGTGAGGAAGTGTCAAGGCCTGGCTTCCACTAGTCAGGAAGAATGCTAACAGGAAAATTTTGCACTTTACAGTCATCTTGGTAAATGGACTATTGCATTTTAGACTTCCTCTTTGTAACTTTGTTTAAATCGTTAGTGTCCCGGTTTTTGATTTCATGCTTTTAATTTAATGCAGTAGAGATTTTATTAGACTTGAGGATATTGTAAGAAATAATGCCTGTTACATTGCTAATTGTAGCTATATTGGAAATACTTTGTGTTTCTTAAAAGTTATCCAAGTTGGGATTTTTTATAGGAGCTCTCAACGACAGGTAGAAGTGATAGACATCCTTCCATGTCGTTTGATAACTGTGGGAAAGGAAAAGACTCCCTTTATTTTTTCTTAGAACATTAAAATAAATCTGTTATAAACCATCAAATGAAAGTAAAGTTAGCAGGAAGGGTCCTTCAGATTACTTGTATTAACTCAGATGGGTACTGTTTTCTATAAGTTACATGCATTTACCTCAGGTGGTTGCTATTTTCATACAGTTTTCAAACGTTTGTAACATTTGCTTTCTCAAACATTTGAGTAGTGAACGAAGGCAGAGAATATAAAGGTAAACTTTCCTTGTGTACATGTGTGGATGGGTTTGTGTGTTTGGGTACCCATGTGTACACAGCCATGTGTATGTGGGTGCATAAGTAGGCCAGAGGTCAGCATTAGATGTCCTTCTCTGTTATCCCTATCTTGTTTTGTGAGAAAGGCTGCAGCTGGTGCTCATAAATCCTTCTGAAACCCAAGTGCTAATTTTATAGGATATATGTATGTATGTATGTGTGTGTATGTATGTATTCATGCATGTATGTATGTATGTATGTATGTATGTATGTATGTATGTGTGACAGAGAGTGGGGGAAGGGAAATATGAGTGAATTAGTGTAGGTCAGATGACAAGTTATGAGTTTAACCCTCTCCTTCTACCATCTGGGTCCCAGTAGTTGAACTCAGGTCATCAGGTTTGAAGGCAAGTGCCTTACCTGCCGAGCTAAATGACAGCTCTAATTTTATCTTTTGATACTATTATTTTCAAATATTTAAAGAAACAAGCTTTCTATTAAAAACTGGTTACTGAGAATATAAAAAATAAAGTTTTATGCTATCACTGGCACACTCTTCCACTGTCCTGTTGAAGGAAACAGAATAGAAGCATCCACAGTGCTGTATATTGAGGGCAACAGTTTTCCACGTAGAGATGGCCAGTCTTTGTGATGATAACAAATGTAGCTCTGTTGTAGGTTGCAAAGGTAATGTTGTATATGGAGCTGAGTCAGTAGGTGAAGGAAGCTTCAGAGAAAATGGGAAGCAAGCCTCTTCCCACCAGTTGAACACCACTCACTGAGCTTCAGATTTTATTTATTTGAGATGCCACAATTGTCTCTTAAGACCTCTGCCTTTTACAGGTTTGAGAGATGGATCTCTTACGTTTTGGCTCAAAAACCTTTCAGTCTTTCAGATCTTTACCCACCATCCTCTACATATTCTGTGCATTATATTTGCTTCGGACATGCCCTAACAATGTATCTCATCCCTGGTGTTTTTGTTTGTTTGTTTTGTAGTGGAAGTCTAACAGGTGTATTAACTTGAGGAATCAATTTAGAATATCACAAAGTTATATTGGATTATTATAGTAAAAAGGAAGCCTGATTGGATGTAAAACCTACATATTTTCTTTAATAATGAAGCAAAGAACTGCATATAAATCCACCTTCTCCATTGGGTACCTTTAGTACCCAAGAGGGAATGGTAGAAATGAAGTAATTCCAGTATGGTCTTCCAGCGTAGCAGTTTCACAGACGTTTGTGTAGATGTGAACCCCCGGGGGTAGTTGGTTAAACTGGGATCCTTGGATACATGCTCTAAAGATCGGGTTTCAGTTGGCACTGGGGAGATTGCACTGTGGGGAGGAAAACTGGGATGTGTGTGGGATCCTGTGAGCATCCTTTCGAGAAATACTTTATAGAGTAGGTAATGTTTTAAATGACAGTAGAATGTACTGTGCTTATGTCTGCAGCTGGTGTTAGATTTAATTATTTTTAATGAATGCCACTTCTAATAATATTGTCTTTTGAACATTAAGGCTGATAAATGTATAAAATGTTTTCCCCTGTATTCATGTGTACGGAAGCTCAAACAGTTCTTTTCCCTCGTGCAGAGAAACCTGACAGAGTACTTTGTTGCCGTGGATGTGAACAACATGCTGCGGCTGTACGCCAGCATGCTGCATGAGAGGCGCATCATTATTACCTCAAGCAAATTAAGCACTGTAAGTCCTTCACGCTTGCGCCTGTGACTGACACATACTGAGTGCTTCACAAAAAGACCTCAACACCTCTGCAGACTTAGAATTGTGCTCTGTGTACTTAAAAGACAATATCTGCATATTTTTAATATATAATTTTAATCTGGCTCTTGAAGTATAAAGGTTTGATTTATAGAAGGCTTCTCGGGTGCATTAAGTCAGGTTAATTATTTTTCCTTATCAGGAGAAGAGGTTTTTTTTTTCTCTCTCTCTCTTTTTAAACTCTCTGGAGTTCATTTTAGTGCCTTGATCACATAGAGAACTCTTAAGAGCTATTATGAGATCTTTATTATTCACTTGTAGCTTTTTTCATTGGAGCTACTTGAAAGACACTATGGGCCATGATAATAGCTGCTATCTTAACCAGGTAATAGCAGATTCATCTTTGTCGCCTCGCGGGGCCTAGGAGGGGATCCTATAATAGTTCTGGTGTGGAGGAGCTCTTCAGGCTGATAATAACTTAAAAGTCAAAGTAGCATTTTTATCAGTCACAGGTTTTATGGCACTCAGTCTGATGTTCTACTGGAAGCTCTTCATTACTGTGAGAAAGGCAGGAATACAAGGGCTTTTCTCAGGCTATAGAAGAGGATTCAAAAGTATTTTGCTAGAGTTCATATTTTCAGTTTATTTTTTTCTTCACTAAATATAAAATTTAAGTATTTTCAAATTCAAAATGTGTAAAATAAATCAAGTTATTTGAATAAACTGTGATATATGAAAACCATTATTAAATATTTTGTTTCTTCATACATTTATTTTATGCAAAATAAAACTACTTTCAATATTTTATTCCATAATAGAAATAAAATTCAGCTCATGTCATCCCAGTTGGGTCCTGGGAGCCTCTTGCTTTCCTGGCATCTGAGACTTTCTAGTGGCTACTCCCAGTTCCCCATCCTCCACTGGTACATACCTCCATTCAATTTCCTGACCCTCTGTACTTCTCCCCATCTCCTCCTACACCTGATCCTGCCCCCTTTTTTCCTCCCCCTCAACTCTCCCTCCCAAGTCCCTCGCTCCACCTCCTATGATTTTGTTCCCCCTTATAAGGAGGGCTGAAGCATCCACACTTTGGTTTTCCTTCTTCTTGAGCTTCATATTATCTATGAATTGTATCATGGGTATTCCGAGCTTTTTTCCTAATATCCACTAATCAGTGAGTGCATACCATGTGTGTTCTTTTGTGACTGAGTTACCTCACTCAGGATGATATTTTCTAGTTCTATCCATTTGCCTGCAAAATTTCATGAGGTCATTGTTTTCAATAGCTGAGTAGTGCTCCATTGTGTAAATGTTCCAGATTTACTGTATCCATTCCTCTATTGAGGGACATCTGAGTTATTTTCAGCTTCTGGCTATTAAAAATAAGACTGTTATGAACATAGTGGAGCATATGTCCTTGTTATATGTTGGAACATCTTCTGAGTATATGGGTTTTCAACCCCATTGAAAGAACAACAATATCAACCAAACAGATTCTTCAGAGCTCCCAAGGTCTAAACTACCAACCAAAGAGTACACATGGAGAGACCCATGGCTCCAGATGTACATGTAGTAGAGGATTGCCTTATCTGGCATCAATGGGAAGGGAGGCCTTTGGTCTTGTGGTGACTGGATGCCCCAGTGTAGGGGAATGCTAGGGTGGTGAGGTGGGAATGGGTAGGTAGAGAGCAGAGCAGAGGGGAGGGGGGATGGGCTTTGAGGTTATTGGAGGGGAAACTGAAAAGGGGGATAACATTTGAAATGTAAATACATCAAATAAAAATATATATATAACATATATATATTAATATTTATATATATTTATATATTATAGATATTGGAAATATATATATTAAAAATATATAACAAAAAAAGAAATAAAAGTCTTCTTTTAGAAAATTCTAGCATTTTAGACCACATAGAGTTTTAAGATTCTTCCAGGTTATCAAGTTAATGTTTAATTACAAGGAGGATATTTTCTTGGGCTGGAGAGCTGGCTCAGTGGTTGAGGTTAAGAGTAGCTTTTCTTGCAGAGCTGGGGTTTGGTCCCAGCACCCACGTGGTGGCTCATAGTGGTTTGTAACATCAGTTTGAGGGGATTTGGTGCCCTCTTCTGGCCTTTATGGGCTCAAGGCATACATATGGTACATGCAGATATGCAGGCAAACTTTATATACCTTAAAACTTTAAAAAAAAAAAAAAAGAAAAACAAAACAAAAACCCAGGGCATTTTCAAAGAAGTTAAATCACCACCCCCAAACCTTAAAAGCTATTGGGGATCCAAGTGTGAAAGAAAACAGGCCGTCATTCTTTGTGTGGAGCTACCCCTGCCACCCTAGAGTCAGATGCATGCAAGCCTGAGATACCGAGGAAGTGATACTCTTATAATCATTATCTTTTAAGTTGGAAATATGTTCATATTCAAAATAATTCTGTGTAAAGGAGATTCTATGTAAATATGAGGTGGTAGCATCAGAACGTAAGTACTAGTGAGTGGCCCCCGTTCCGTTTCCTCTAAAAGGTGCTGAGGAATCCATCTGACTGATTCTCACTCTGCCATTCAGGGTTGGCTGCTCATGAGGGACTAATCTTTATCCCCTTCCAGCTCCTCCTTATTCTCCACACATAATAAGTTCAGGATTTTAAAGATATTTCTGATAGGAATTATTCTCATGTTGACAAAGATTGTTATAAGAGCTGTCTTATAGTTTTAGAAAGTAATTCATGCATGCAATATTTTTGTGCCTGGCACTGTCCTAGTCACTATAAATTCAGCAGTAAGACAACCAAGGACAGTTTGTGTGTTCTTATTATACTGGCATGAAATATATAAACAGCTGAACAAAAAAAGCATCTATTGTGTCATGTGGAATATGTACCAAGTTATAAAATATGAGTATGTACAAGCTGGAGGTGAACGGTAGGTTTGTGTTTTGTAGAAAGTGTGTGTTTGGGTGGAATACATCCTTAATGAGGTAGAATTCAAACAGATTTGGAACAAAGCAGGGAATGAACTCTTTGGGTGAAATACAATGGCTGTTTAGGAAAACACATCCAGGGTTTTGAAAAATTCCAGTATCTTTCCTGGTTTTTAATATATAACCCGTTCTTAATGATGGGGTAACCTGTCTTTGACTTTGCTTCTTCACACGTGAAGTGAGAGGAACAGCCATCTTGACCTGCTTGGTTGGCTGTTGAGAGTAAGGAGACACACCTATAGGAAATGATTAGGATTATGTCTGCATGGTTTGCATGGTCAGTGTTTATTAATGCAACATTGTTAGTATTCCTGAATTATTATTTTAAAAAGCAGATGTTAATAAAGCTTGTTATTACACAGAATTATTTCCAGTGTTCAAGGTGGGCCTCGTATCAATTGTTTATGGCAATCCTTGAAAATGAGTGGTACCATCTCTAAGTTATAGTTCTCTTTTGGTTTAATTCTGGGACTGTAGAGTTGATAAAATAAACATAATTCAAATTTGCTTTTATAATCTCTCCACCCTTCTTGTGTGTGGGAAGGGGCTTTATACTACCTTGAACAACTTTCTTGTATATGTAGTCTGAATAAATGCAACTGCTATAAATTATATACAGAGTGACATATAAGGTTAAGGTCTTATAAAGTAGAGGAAAACTATTTATTTAAAAAGATAGTTTAATGAAATCACTAAAACACACAAAGGAAGAATAGTAATTGCCTTGGTTTTTGCATTTTTGTTTTTTCATATATCATAGATACTTTGTCATGCTCACCATTACTGTAGGAAGCTGTGTTTGACAGCTCCTGATTACTTTGTACATCTGTAGTCAGCACTTGAGTTACTATGAAGAATGAATATGCGCTAAAGTGCCTTAACGTTCATAATTTTATTGTTACTTTGTAAGGCTGTTTTCCTTTGGCCATTACTCTTTGTCCATCATAATTTTCACAATTAAAATAGATACAAGCCTTGGGACTTGCTGAGGATTTTCACTTGCTGGTGTCTGGTGGTAGTGAATCAGCTAACTTGAAGATGACTTTCTTCATATTATGTTTGTAGTTAAGATAATTTATAGTCTTTCATATAGGTATAAACGTTACAATTAGTTTTAAGTTATGTAAACCAGTTATCAATTCCTTTATGTTTCAGAACTTTTAATGAGCCCTTTCCCACTCATAGAACTGTGGTATAGTGTTAGTATTACATTTTTTTCATGTGCTTAAGCGTAATGGGTTAGGACAACATCGGTTTTGCTTGTATTTTTTGATGTATATATTGCTAAGGACACAGAATGGCCTCTGTAAGACCCAAACAAGCTTGTTGATTTTATGCATGCTGTAGGTAGGCAGGCCTAATGTTTTAAGGCAGAGTGAATCCTAGAAGACTAGCACAACATCATCTTATGGTCTCATCTATTCAAAGCAGAGGAATAAATCATGATCCTACACAGTTGTATCAGTTGACTTATTGCTGTTTTGTGACTGTAGATCGGGAGAACTGCTGTTTAAAGCCATGTCATGGGTTCTCAAATCAGTCAGGCGTGAAGCCTTGTCATATGCCTCTGTAATTGTACCTCACAGACTTCCTCTAACTAGTCAGCTGGGGCTGTGCATTTTGTCTCAAACACCCAGCTGGCCAGCATCTGACAGGAGCTCTTTCTCATCATCCTGTCAGTAATATGTTAACTAGGGCGTACATTTATGGTTTGTAGAAGCAGGTAAAAGCAATGTATCTCTTTAAAGCAGATGTCTAAATGTTAGCATTATTTTGACCAATATATAATAGGTAAGTATCATCCTCTTAACAATGTATCCATACCATTTACAGACATTTGATTGTACATGCATACTATTTCTGGAATATTTAGACTGAGTGGTATGCTATGAGCGCTGGAATTGTGTTAATAAATTGTATGTTCTTTGTTATTGCTGCCCCCAGGCATGCAAGCATATGCTTTTCTCTCACCTTCTCATTAATTCTATCAAGGGCATATGTAGA